ATGCTAAATCCACGAGTGTGCCGACAAGTCCGCTGCTTCATTGAGTAGCAATTTGAATTTGTACTGTGTGAAAAATGATCAAATTTGTATGAAGATTAAAACAGATCAAATTCAAATTGATATATTTTTGAAATTCATGAATATTTTTTGATGAAACCTCTGTGATTTACTATTGAAACGTTGTAGAAACTATGCACAAAATATCAAGATTGCAGGTGTTTCCGAAATATGTTAATGAGTCCACCAAAAATGGTCAATTTGTATGAAAAATACCTAGTGGTTCCAAACTTTTGCACGGTAGTGTATATCAAGACAAAAATTGATTTCAATAATTTTTTCAATAAAAAAAAGATATGCTATTTATTTCTCTAAATTACATCGCTTCAATTGCTGGGGGGCCGATACTGCGACCAATTTTTCGAAAACGCCATCAAAACGCTTATTTACACAGCATTCATTCAAGTAAACTTAATGAATAAATTAATGATAGATGAATGAATGGTTGAATTGACTGGATGATTTGAAGTTGAAACGATTGCCAATTTTTATTTGTTGCACAAACAAAGGCATAAGCCAACGTAACGTTTTTGTTTGTTCTACAATCTAAAATCGATAAAGTCCGAGGCGATACGCGCTATCAGTCTAATCCTAAAAATTCCCGTTCAAGTGCCGCTCCCATCATATTCCAATCTCCATCATCTTCAAAACCTTCGTTATTTGATGAGTCTGCACTGTTGTCGCCCATATCTAAATCCGAAGGTAAATCACAACCACGTCGAAACTTATCCACTGGAGAATCGTCATCGGTGTCACTTTTATTTGAGCTGACCGACGAATTCGACTCTTTGTCGCACTCTGGCTGCTCTTCACTAGCATCAGGCTGAAAAATCTTTCGCTTTCTTTCCTCGTCTTCTTCTTCGCGCTTCCTTTTTCGGAGATCCTTATTCAGTGGTGGATTTTCTGATTGAGCGGACATTTTTATCATTACAATTTGTATTTGGTTTCATTAAATTTGGAAAAATCAATCAGACCAATAAAGCTTTACCTAAGTCAATCGACTCATCACTTGAGTCTGATTCAATTAATTCATTTACATCTTCATTCATTGCCTCTAAATCGCCCTGTGAGAACATCAAAAATGGGTTGATCGTATCCATAAACTTGGGTGGTAATGCGTTTGATGTTGATTGTTCTGAGCTCGAGACATCTGCATCATTTAAATTACTGTAATTCACCACGTGTTCTGTCAATTGATGAGAAAAAAATGGAATCGATTGTGGGAGTGTTCTAAAGCACTTATATTTAGCTTTGTATTCTATCTACCTGGACTGTGACAATGCGCCGGTGGTTGTCTTGTTTTGAAGGCTTTTCTTGAATCCAAAGGGAATAGCTTCTCTTCGACGCACTCCCATCTTTCCGCACACGTCCATAACCAATCTGGCGAAACGATGTGAATTTTCGACATTTTTCGTGCGGCATTCACTTTGAATGTACCAGGCGTTGAGGCCACCAAATGTGTTGTTTCATCCGTCAACTGTTGTGTTACATTCGCGCCTAGACTTCGTGCAATAAGATACGCTTTGCTCTTTTCCAATTTGATTTGTGTCGGTACTAGTCCCGAAAATACCAACGTTTTACCCATCAACACTTCACTACGGATCTTCGGCAGCAGAGTTTTCAGATCAGGTATCTAAAACGATAACATAAGTGTTATTATAAATATTATGGCCCAAAAGTAATCCCGAATATTTACCTGTTTGGTTTCATCATAATGCGTATAGAACCTCGAATGAATTTTAATTAGAATGGACTCAAGATAAAGTAGATAGTCGTCCGGATCTTCGACATCGATCAGTATATCATCACCACCGCTATTTTCTTCGTGTGTGCTTAATTTACTTGTGCTATCTGAATCCAATTTTTGGTCTTCGATTTCACTAGGTTCTGGTTCGGGTTTGTCTTCATCTTTGTCTTCTTCTTTGTCTTTGTCTTTGTCTTCTGAACTACCACAGGTAGCTTCATCATTAGACTTTTCGGCTGGAGGTTCCTCTTTGTCTATGTCGACCTTTTCGACCTTTTCGACGTTTTCTTCTGTTGTTGAATCGGCAGATTTACAACTCTCTTTTGGTTGATCAGCTCCATCGAAACAGCCCGCTACCGATTCAGTAGAAGATGACGGCACTTCGGATGATTCATTTCTCTTTTGAGTATTGAATGCTTTGTTTTTATTGAAGTCTGCAATGTGACGAATATTTCGAATATTAAATAAAGAACATTTCACATAATAATTAGATAAACACCAAATATTACCTCCAAAATCAACACCTTTTCCATCAAGTTCATGTTTTGACATACCAGGCGGTGCATTGATATCGCCCGTATGCTGGAAAAAGTGATAAGGCTTGACTTGAATCAAATTCGTTGCCATATTCCAGACATCTTCACGGTCATCAATAATGCAAACCATCGAATCGCCACACGGAAACAGAGCTCTAGAATTCGATATCGAATGCATAAAATTCCATAATTTTAAATTCAAAACACATTAAATAAATACAAACAATAAAATATACCTTAAATTATCGGTTTTATATGTGACGCTGAGACATTCGTCCCTTGATAAAATACGATGTGAGAAATACTTTCCGTCTTCATCTAAAAATTGTGCAATCGTATGAGCATAATTTCTTGCACCAAACGTACAAATGTGTAGTTCAAAGTATGATGCAATATTCTCGAGAAATTGAAAGGTGCCCGGTCGCAATCGTGTGTGATACCACGGTGAGTTTGGTCCATACAATTGAAAGTGATAGACACCTTTGAGATTGTTTGGAACGTTATCGTTTGTTGTGTGAATAACCGTTTGATCCAAGTCAACCAACAGCACCAGCTTTCTGTCTTGCAATAAGCGAACTGTATCGGCTTTTCCCAGCTCTTGAGCTAATTCATGTGATACTTTGAGTTCAGGAACTGAATGCACCATCGGAACGGATGCTTCTGTTTGTGCATTGTTATCATCTTGACGTAGATCAGCGCCACAATCAGCGCACATATCTTTGATCACGGTTGCATGAATACAGTCGCTCAGCTCTAGCAGAGGCTTTCTAAAACATAAACAAAATTTTTATCCGTTCAATGGCATCCAATTGTTCAGCAAAACACATGTTTAACAATCTTACTCGGCCTCGACAATATCACCCTCTTTGTAGAAACGCTTTTTTACAACGCCACATTTGGTCGATTTTAGGCGCCTTATTTCGGTATCGTTGCCGCTTGTCAATTCATACAACAATATTAATTGATTGTTATTAACCTGAAAACCTTCGCGCACTTTCCATTTATTGATTTTAATTTGAACGTTTGGTGAAAAAACGGTCGTTTTTTCGGAATCGGACATTTTTAAAATGTCTTTTATACTTGAATGTCGTTGGTTGAACTCGATTCTTCGGAAAAAAAATTCAGTCAATTTTCAAAATTTTCACATTTTTTCAAGTTTTTAGAAGCGCGGTTTGACATTTCAGTCAATTGTGTTCAATAACATCTGTCGTTCACACTGTTTATGCTACACATACATATGTATCCATAACAAGACTTAACACAATATTTCGAGTACTTAACAACGTAAGAGTTAAAGTGGTTTTCATGCTAAATGATATATTCTCATAAAAATGCATTTTATAAACTAAAATTTTGTTTTATAATCTTGTAATTTATAATTTTTGATCATTTTTCTTTTCTTAAATCTAAGTCGGAGTTAGCAAGTGTCAAGTCATTCCATACCATTTCAAATGTTCATAAGTTTGTTCGAAGTATCAGTAAGTATGTTCAAATTCGCATTAAATACAGAGCGAAATTGACTACAAAATAAATATATGTTATGTAGAAAACGAAATTTGCTTCTAAATTCAAAATTCATTTGAAGTTTTCGTGTTTGTTCTATTTTTTTTTTCATAAAAATATGACAGTTTCTATCGAATATTGAGTAATACGAAATTCAGGCGCAAATGTGTGTGTGTGTGTGTGTGTGTGTGTGTGCTAAATTTGGCGCTTTACTTTACACCGTACGTGAGTGTGGAATTTTTGACAGTTTACATTTAAACGTAAGGGCGTTCGGTCTGCGCAGTAAATACCGTGCAACTGTATTGGCATTCGCTTGATGCGCGTAGAGATTATTTTTCCCTTTATTTTGAGTAAAATTTAATTGAAATTGAAAATTCCAGTTAATCAGTGATTTTTTTGTGCAAAAAAACACAGAATTTCCGTCAGTTGGTGTTTTTGCTTGATGTGAATATTCAAGCAATAAATCACTTAATTGCACACAGCATAACATACGAAAAAAATATTGATGGGCGCTATTTGTTTGGTTTTATGGGAAAGAAAATAAAACGACGAAATTTTCTGTAAGTAAAAACGTAAATTATCAAAAAAAAAAATGCATCTGGTTTTTGGAATTGGTTTAATTTTTTTTTTTATCATTTCGGAGAATTCGAGCAAATGTAGAAAATGGAATGTATTACATGAAAATGTCATTGAATTTTGATTAATTGTATTTTATCGCGCCATATGAGCGCCATTGCTGATGTCACGATGTTATAATAATCCAATTACTTCGCGCATTGTTTTCATTCATACTTATGATTTGTTGAAACAAAAATATTTAAAAATTCCATTTTGTAAATATTTTCAATGGATTTATTTTGATTAAATGTTTTTTTTTTTAAATTAAATTTGTGCCAACTCTATTGCGTTGAATTTGTTTAAATTTCATGTTTTATGATCATACAAATTCTGTCGTCGTCAACATGTTCATAGTGTAAATGATTTTTTTTACCTTTTCTTTGCTCCATTTAGATCAAAATTTATGAGATTTTCCATAAAACGTTTTGTGGAGCGCGTGAAATGATATGTTTAAAATAAACGATAGTTACGAAACAGAGCCGTCAACTAGCAGTAGTGTAAGTGATACAAATGTGAATGCACAATTTTCTATGTCACATTTTGAATTTATTTGATAACCCCTTTTACAGTCACAAAGCGATGCATGTGTATCTACGTTAAACGTTGAATGGGATTTTCAAAAAGGAACAGCTTTGAGAGATTTCCTTTTTCCGCCTGAGGCAAATAGTTTATACACACCAGACAAAGATTCGCAACGCAAACGGCTGAACGAAACTTTGTCATCAATGGTCAGTTCAAGTCAAGAATCTGACTTTTACGGCTTCACTCCTACATCAATAACACACAAAATTCTGCCATGTGAAAGAGTTCCGGAAAATCCAGAACAAAGCAACGATGGAACTCACCACGGAGGTTCGTTGGTGAAACGAGCGATTGGATCCACCGAATGTTGTGGTTCAGCGCAAACGATCACATCCGAAGAGTTTTCCGATCAAGATATTCGATGCCGAACCGAAATGGACAGCGAAGATGTGAAACGAAGAGTGAATGTCCAATATGATGAAAGTTTGTGCAATGTATCACGTTTTACAATCGAACCCAATTCTTCTGATGAAGAGGAGCTGTCAAGCCGAGCGAGTGCTGCAAAAATCATTAAAACATCAAGCAATCCACACACACTTTCGGTGAATGAAAACAGCAACAATGCCGTGGATAATGCGATATCAAGCACAAGCTATATACCTGAGACTGAATTGAAGGATCTCTCCTTTAATGGAAAACTGAAATCCGAACCAACCAACGAAACGACCCGTTCGATCAACGAATTGGACAGGTCTGGTAAAGGGAATAAAAAAGACTTGAACATCTCGAATGCTAGTGACAAAAGTGACTTGGAATGGCAACTACAAATGGAAACAAACCGCGAACACATCAACGAACGCTCACCCGATCTATTCTCAGATGATGATGACTTGGAAACTGAAACTGATACCGACAAGAATCAACAACATTCCACTGTCGATGTGAACGATAGCTTTTCGTCGATCAAAGATGACGAAAAAGAAAATGTTTCGGGTAAATGTATTGAACAGACGGAGAAAGCGATCAGCAGGCGCATACAGAGCTTGCTATCCGGCATTTTGCCTCCTCCATCGGTGACATACATTCAACATGATATCGGTAATTTGCTATCCATGTACAAAAGAAATATAACGCTCATGGATTCCGACAATTCCAACAAGAAGAACATTGAACAGTCGGGCATTTGTGATGAAATTCCATTGCCAATAATTCCCAAAGTATTAGAAAACATGGAATGGCCACAAATAGAGAGAGTCAATGCACATGGGTTGCATTACAATCGTACCAAGTACACCGAAAACATTGAAATGATGTACATGAAATTAGTCGAACGAAACGTTGGTCAAGAGACTGGAACTTCATTTACTTACAATATTGCAACGAGTGCAAAGAAGAAACCAATACGCAAATTGTATGTTTTCATTTTTTATTAGTTTTATTTATAAACATTTTGTTTGTTTAATTTCAAAAGAATATTATGTTGAATTTTCCTATAGGATGGCATCTCCGGGGAATCGTTTGAGCCATTTGGCGAGAAGGCGAGCTATTTTCTCATCAGCCAATTTACAGTCTCAGTCACAACTTTCAAATTTGTCGAAATTAGGACGAAAAACATGTGTCATTGATACTTCGTGAGTAAAAACTTGACAATTTCGATCTGCTATTATAGTTGTCCATATAAAAATATTCTGTGGTGCTTCTGCGGTTGATAAAAGATAAACCGAATACATTAAACAAAATTGATTATGTAGTTTAGATATCTATTTACATCTTGCTTCTTTTCGAATTCCTTTTCCTTAGAAAATTGAGCCGTAAAGAAAAAGTGTCTACTCCAAAGCGGCGAGGGTTAGCAAATCGACGAACGCCAGGTATTTTGATTGAATAAAATCCCGCAAATCCTGCATCATTTCAATGGAATGTTTTAAATTTAAAATCAAATAGGTCGTAAAACACCAGGATCACTCAAGAAGAGTGCCAAAAAACTGGTGCCAGTTGTGCCAAAATTTGCTACAGCTACACGTGAAACGTCAAAACGTGCCTTATTTCTGAGTCCAACGCAGGAAGAGGCAAAAAATCCAGCACCATCGTCAATGTCATCGGATATTTCACGGCGTGAAAAATCGAAACGAGCACTTTTCTCACCGCAGCGTCGCTTAGAGCGATCAATTTCAAATATATCGAATGCTAGCAGTGCGAGTGGTTCCACCTCATTCAGTAGTTCAAATAAGAAAAATCATTGTGAACGAATCAATTACTTCAACCGTACGAGCAGTGATGTTTCAATAAGTTATAAGCGAAGACTAGAGCAAGACGACGATGAAAATATGGAACCGCATCGTAGCAAATTTCAGCGCACTGAACATCATAGTAGCACATTGCATAAAGCGGCATCCGAGAATTCGATGTACCAAAGCCAACAGCTATCAGCTAGCCACAAACAGAAATTATTATGGGCCGTATCGACGGCGCTCAAGAAGAAGGCAATAACCTCAACACATACCAACTTTCATTCATACGCATCCAATTTGGGAAAGGTGGTGAAACGGCTGTATTTGGAAGCATTGCCAACAAAAACTGAAAGTACCAGTGGAACAATGTTGCGGTAAGACATTCAACTGAATCATTATTCTGAAATTCCAAAAAAAAAAAAAACGCAATTCTAAACTATAGTATTTTACAACAACAAAAAATAGGCTTGCAGATCGTTTGGTGTTTTGGGTGCTTCAAGGGAAGACGGTTGATGAAATCTATTTGGAAGAGAAGACACGAAACAGCACAAAACCGAATGTAGTCAAACGCTTAAGCGGGTATATCAATCGCGATGAATATTTAATGCGAATGGAAACGGCGACCAAATTGAATTCAAGTGCTCAATCGATAACGAATGACCATTTAGCGGCTTGCAATGAAAATGACAATGGTCGCAAACCATTGACAAATAGTTCTTCAAAGAGTAATATGGGCACAAGTGCGTTGCGTGAGAATCACGATTCAAAATCGGCACAAAAATCATTATCCAATGTGAGTTTCTCAGGTCGCAACCAGAAAAATTTAAGCCCCTACAATGATAAGTCGCGATCGGTTACCAATTTGAATAAGCCCAATAAATTGATGTCCGGCCCAAATTCGAATATCTTAAAAGTGAAACGACAAATATCCTTTGATAACTGAAAACAAATACACACGTTCAACGGAACCTAACTCATTTAAGCCTATTGTAATATTTAAACGCAACTGTTTTAGTCATTTATAATAGAATAAAAAAAAACTTATGACATCCAGGTCATTTTAAGCAACAGTTTTAAACAAACGTTGCATCTGTTTCTGCAACGGGTATTTTTTTTTTCTCTCCAAATGAATATTTTAAATGCAAATAATTTTGTGGTGGACGAGGGGAGTGCGGCTCGAATGGAAAATGAATACATTTTGGTGGCATCTCATAAAATAAACACAATATTTGGCTTTGTTTGGCAATTTCGTTCCATATTCATGAACTACTTTTGTTTTTTGTGTGAATTCCTGGAGCCGAACATTCAGTTTGAACAAGTAATTAAACGAATTTGGTTGGTTTTGTATCATTTCAAACACATATGATTTTGTTTATAAACGTAGCGAAACACTGAGCGAGCTGATGTGCTCAAGTATTTGTGTTGGGAAGGCATCAACATACGAATTGTCATACACTTTGTTTTAGTTTCAGCACACACATTAGTTTTCCGCAAATACAGACACACCAACACGAATACATACACACGCTTCGCACACATTCAAACGCTCGCTCTTAGTTGTGAGTGTTAACGTTTACACAGTTTTGTTTTCAATGGGTCGTAGTTAGAATTTACCTCTATTAAATTGCACTTACAGCAATATCCAATACATACCGTCAATTGTTTGTTGATATTGCTATTTAGTTTCATTTAATTCTCTACGTCGATAATATCCCGTGAATAAAAAATACGTAACAAAAAATGTCGACAATTCTACTCGGAATTCGGTCTTGTTTTGTTACTTCAGTGTGAACGACGTGAATACTCTTTCGATTGCCGTTTTTTTTGTATATTGTTTACTGGATCAATGTTTGATTTTTTTTTTTTCATTGACGAGCAGCTGAGAAGCAATTCACAATTCATTAATTGAGCATTAAGATAATAGATAAGCCCATGAATTTTTGGGACGCAATGCGAACGACGACATCTTCCAGTTCTATTCAAGTGCAGTGATTTGCGTTTTGATTTCACACATAACGCTGATATTTGCATTTTGCCTTGGATCCAAAGCGCAATCGACAGAATGCATGACTTATTCTGTGCTAAGACCTAATTAGAACAGTGTATATTGAAGCGATTTATCACACCGGAGACCATCCCACTGACCAATTTTCGTCGGTTTTTTTATGTAAGTATTTTCATTATAAAATGAATTGCAGCTGAAATTGCATCGCACGAATCGGTAAAGCCTAAATCGATTTTATCAATGTTCGAAAATTCCTCTTTATTCGAAATTGTCGTGAATATGTACATATTTGATTTTGATATCGTGGTGGTTTAATGCTCACATAGTTTTATTCAGCGCGTGTCAACTTTTGTGATAAGGTTCAAACTGTTTTTTTTTTTATCGAACTTCCCAATGATAGAAGTGTTTTTGTAGATTTTGTTTCATCGGTCGTTGCGTCGGCCGTACTTTAATTCTATTAAACGTGATTCGGTGGCAGTAAATGCTGTTGCATTCTACAATAAAATCATTTAGGACGCATAATCAAATGCATGAACTCTATTTTGAACAGAAATTTATTGAAAATGATAAGCTCGATCATGTAATAATTTTTTTTTATTAGTATAGATTTTAATTTTAAAAAATTGCAATCTTATCGATTGATGTTATGGGAATTAAAAAAACAAAATTGACTAGATGAAAATTATTGCCTATGTTCAGATACCCATATGAAATATAAACAGATATTTTGAACGTACCCATTTTTTGAATGTATTCATTGTTTTGGTGTAATGTTTTCGTTTTAACTAGTGACTTGACAATCAGTGACAGTTGTTCGCCATTTTCCCAACACCAAATATTCGGAGCGAACCATACAAGACAAAACGTTTACCTTGTTTACTACGCATAGCAAAACGGAATATTCAGTAATAGCATAGTGTTTTTTTTATTTTTGTCGTTGAAATATTGTTAATGTATACATGATAAACTATTAGAAAGTGAAATTCACTGGGAACAAAGGGAATAATGTCGTTTTCGTCGACACCTCGTGTGCCTGTGTCACAATTACTTAGCGATGCAGCCAGCAATGATGAAGAGCCAAAGAAAAAGTCCAGAGAAGATTGGCGCAAAGCAAAAGAACTAGAGGAAGCACGTAAAGCTGGAACAGAACCGGCCGCCGTCGATGAAGAGGGTCGAGATATTAATCCACACATTCCACAATACATTTCAAATGCGCCATGGTACTACAATGCGGCAGGACCAACACTGAAACATCAACGGCCACAAGATGAACAAGATAAAGGTGTATCCGGTATAAATGAATGGTACCATCGTGGTGTGAATACGAGCCAAGTAATTACGAAATTCCGAAAAGGAGCTTGTGAGAATTGTGGTGCGATGACACACAAGAAAAAGGATTGCTTCGAAAAGCCACGTAAAATCGGTGCTAAATACACTGGCAAAGTGGTTGCTCATGATGAATTCGTTCAACCGAATATCGTAACGGACTATGATGGAAAACGTGATAGATGGTCAGGCTATGATCCGGCAGCTCATCGTGAAATTATCGAAGAATACCAAAAAGTCGAAGAAGCGAAGCAGAAACTTAAGGCCGAAAAACTAAAAGATCAAGGAAATGCCGAGCCTGGAAGCGTTGACGATAACGATGACGATGAAGAAGAAGATGGTGATAAGTATGCGGATGGAGCAGACATGCCTGGCACTAAAGTCGATTCCAAACAACGGATCACCGTCAGAAATCTACGTATTCGTGAAGATACCGCCAAATATTTGCGAAATTTGGATCCAAATTCAGCGTACTACGATCCAAAAACCAGATCTATGCGTGATAATCCAAATCCACAAAAAGATCCCACTGAACTTGAATTTTCTGGTGAGAATTTCGTGCGATATAGTGGCGATACGAATAAGCATGCTACGGCACAGCTTTTTGCATGGGAAGCACATGGCAAAGGTGTCGATGTCCATTTGCTGGCTGAACCAACCAAATTGGAAATGCTCCAGCAAGAATATGAAAAGAAAAAAGAAGAGTTTAAATCGAAAACAAAAGACACTGTTCTCAGTAAATATGGTGGTGAAGAACATCTACAAGCGCCGCCCAAATCACTTTTACTCGCTCAGACCGAAGAATACGTTGAATATTCGCGAACGGGCAAAGTGTTAAAAGGCAATGAGAAACAAACCAATCGTAGTCGATATGAAGAAGATGTTTACATCAATAATCACACGAGCGTATGGGGCTCGTTTTGGTGTGAAGGTGCTTGGGGCTATAAATGTTGCCATTCATACGTCAAAAATTCATATTGTGTAGGCGAAAACGGAAAACAAACTGCAAAACCGTCAATGTCAATGTCAACATCAACATCAACTGCATACGATCACATCGGACGTAGATCAGCTGACGATTCCGACGAAAATCATGAACAAGAATCGAAAGAACCAGAAGAAGAACACAGCGACTCATCACAGTCATGCGAAAGTGTTGAAGAACGCAAATCCAAAAAGAAAAAGAAGAAAAACAAAAAGAAGAAGAAAAAATCAAGAAACAAGGAAAAAGAAAAATCAGAATTAGAAATGGCATTGGAAGCCGAGGATAGAAACAATTCGGAAGCAAGTCGACTATTGCAAATGGATGAACGAAAACGACCATTTAATAGTATGTACGAAGTGAAAAAACCATCCGAGGAAGAGGTCGAAGCATATCTCATGAAACGACGACGCGATGAAGATCCAATGATAGCATTTATGGATAAATAAACTGTCAATCTAGTTTTAATGATAACACTTTTTATGGCTAAGTTTGAATGAATTTTAGATAAAATTCTGATTAAAACTGTTTTGAAATGTTCAAAGTGTGGTTTTTACTGATTTTTCTTGTAACACTGACCGATTTGATTCGTTATATTCAAAGGCTTTATCATTTTGATCAATTATTCAATATTTCAGATATTATATCCAGTGACAATGTTCACCTAAACGATGTATTGAATTGCTAATTGAATCAATTTCTCAAAAAGAAAAAAAGACCGAAATGGCGGCTACCAATTCTGAATACATTCCAAGTGCAAAGGCTGCAATTCAACCAACCGATCCAATTGTGTATGCCAACGAAGAACATGAGCAACCGTCCGTTTCCGTTCAACCGACGATTAACCAGACAACCGTTGAACATGCGCGAACAACCAATACGTATGCACTTGAATTACCGGTTCTGTTGCTGTTCTTCTCATGGAATTTATCGGGAACTGTTTTCCAGAATCAAGTACTATACCAAAGCTGTATATTAAATTACAATGAATCAACGTGCACTTTACTTGCAAACGAAAAGATACCAGATGATCTTGTGGTAATTTCTTGTCTTATTTGCCCTGATTTTCCGAAAAGATCCAACTCCAGAATGTGAAATATATATATATATATATTTTTCTGTTGTTTTCATGCAGGAATTAGAAGTAGAGCTGGAAGAATATGCATCGAAAATATTTATGGCTCGTGCTGTTTTGGAAAGTATCATTCCTGCATTTATAAGTTTTCTAATTGGACCATGGTCAGACAAATTTGGTCGTAGGCCGATTTTGCTGAGTACATTTTTTGGTGAGTTGATTTGTTGTAACACAACTGAAACTCTTTAACGTTAAACGTTTGATTTTCATTAAATTTGTTTATTAGGATATTTTTTGGCCTATGCACTACTGTGTGCAATATCAATACCGTCATCGTTTTTCATTATTAGTCCATGGTACTACTTATTTGCATTCATTCCACTGTCACTTCTTGGCGGTACGTGCGCGCTAATCACGGGGATCTTTTGCTACATAAGTGATGTTACGTTCGAAAGAGATCGTGCATTTAGGTGAGATTTAACGTATTCCAGTCGAACGAATGTTTGATTCAATTTATGGGTTTTGTTACACACAATTTTTTTTTTTCCTACAGAATGGCACGAATGGAGGCAGCCGTTTTCGTTGGTCTACTTTTGGGTGCTTTGAGCAGTGGAAATTTGTACAAATTAACTTCAGCGTCTGTGGTGTTCGGATTGTCAACGTTGTGTTCATTATTGGGATTGATTTGCGTGTATATGTTTGTCAAAGAAAGTATTAAAAACGAAACGGAAGAAACTGGACGTATGGTAATTTAAATCATCTAATATAATTTACGCAAGCAATAATAATAATGTTGTATTCTTAGGCCAAGTTTAAAGCGCTTTTCGAATGGAAGCACGTGGCGGATCTATTTCATACGTGTTTCAAGCGACGAGAGCACAACGGTCGGGTTCTTATTTGGCTCATTATTCTCGCATTAGCCTCAACGATGTTTGTTCTAGAGGGATCGGTGGCACTTAGCTTTTTGTTTATGCGAGAGAAATTTAAATGGATGATAACAGATTATAACTTTTATACGGCGTTCAATGTGATTTGCCAAGTGTTTGGCAACATTTTTGGAACTTATGTACTCAACAAAATGTTTGGCATACCTGAAATTCTGATGGCAATTTTTGGCTACTTCAGTGCAATGTTTGAGTACATTGTTGTCGGATTGGCCGACTACAGCTGGGAATTATACGTTGGTATGCCGTATTTCCTCGAATCAAACCACACTTTACTCAAGTCCATCCAAATCCAACAATTAATAAGCATCGTTCTATTTTTAGCTTCGATAATGGTGATGCTGAAGGGAGTCGCTGTACCAATGTGCCGTGCATATTTGGCATGTTTGGTACCGTCCTGCGAAATTGGCAAAATCTACTCAATGACAACATCAATGGTAAGAAAAACAGGTGATACGTGATGTAAAATACGAAGAAATTGAATGTTGATATTATCTGTTATTGTATTTTTAACTTCCACATTCTAGGAATCTTTAGCACCAATCGGAGCCGCTCCGATCTACACGTAAGCAAATGCGACACACAATCACTGATTTCATTAAAAAAAAAAAACTACAATTAAATTCTGTTCAAGAGATCCTGATTCTTATTCTAATTCTCGATATTTTTTTTTTTTTGCATTGCAGATTTATCTATAACTATACAATCGATACATATCCGGGTGCATTCAATTTCTTCAGCGCTATCTGTTACCTCTATTGTATTATACTGATAACGTAAGCAAATACAGCATTTAAATACTGCTTTCATTACAATTACAATGAAATTTTGTTCGAAGGGGCTCTGATTCTAATTCTAATTCTAATTTTCGATATTTCTATTGCAGAATCGTATTCTTCATTCGAAGTAGACGACAAGAGGCGGCTAACTACGAACGAATTACCAGCTGATCAACGATATTTTACGAAACATGATGTTATGTCGCAAATAGAATAGAGTACATACCGTCAAGAGTACCTTTTTCTCATGTAATATTAAATTGGGTAAATGGAAATTTAATTGTGAAAAACGAAATCGAAATATATTGCAATTAATACATTATTCCATTGGTTAACTTATATCGGCAGTGGATGATAAGTATGCCCCACCGTGCACACCTGTATGATAGATTCAATAAAATTTAGAAACTCGAACCATTTGTATGATAATTTGAAAGATTAAAAATAAAAATTCGAAAACAAACATTTTTTTTTCCATACAAATTTTGTCTGAGTTTTGGATTATTTTTACGAAAAAAAAATCCATTGTACTAAGAAACTCAAACATTCTTCCCTATGTGTGGGAGCATTTTGTTAAATAGATAAAGAGTTTTGAGAGAGAATTTTCCGTATCATACCAATCTCTAACCTAAAAACCACCAAATCAATAAATTAAAAGACCAAAAAATCGTCGTAAATTTTCTGTCTATACGATTCAATTAATGCCAAAATATTCATGCTGTCTTTCGTATTTATTTAATTTCAAGAAATGTGTGTTGAAACAGTATTTATTGGTAAATTTTTGATTTGATTCTTTTTCCGTAACCAATGCTATATTAGAGTAGATATTTGACGTTTTATCAACAGGGTTGACCGATGTCTTGAACACATTGAACGAATTCAAGTTTAAACGACAATGAAGACTGACAAGACTGTAGTTTCAAATACGAGACGCCGTTGTTTAAATAATCGTGGTTCGAACGAAGAAAGAATGCACACTATCAGCGAAAATTATTGTGACAAAACTGCATTTTCTACTCACGTTTGACTTTGTATATGTGATTAGACTGATTGTTAGCACAATCATTCAAAACATCAAAGATTATTTCTGTAAGATTCTTTTCATGGTTGAACTGTTTTCTATTTTCTTTTTAAATTGTGAAAGCAATTGTAAAGTGTGATTCATCGGTAGTGATAACAACAAAAACATTGTCACAATGAGTTTTTTTGGTAAAATGTTCGGTGGAAAGGCTGAAACGGTGATGACCACCGGAGAAGCAATTCAAAATTTACGCGAAACGGAAAATATGCTGATTAAAAAGCAAGAATTTCTGGAGAAAAAAATTGAACAAGAAATTGAAACAGCTAAGAAAAATGGAAGCAAGAACAAAAGAGGTATACTGAACTTATTTTTTACTTTTGATCTTTGAAACGAATGCGTGTTTTTGCATAGAAGCTATGTGCTGTAATTAATTTTAATGGAAAAGTTTAATGACATTCACATTGATGAATTTTGTAACGACAGTGCTTATTTCATCACAATTCAAACAAATTTCACTATTTTCAATTTCAAATGATATTATGTCTTCTGTTCTTACACAGCTGCCATTCAAGCATTGAAGCGGAAGAAGCGATTTATGCAGCAACTTCAACAGATCGATGGAACTCTGTCAACGATCGAAATGCAGCGAGAGGCACTCGAAGATGCCAATCAAAACACTGCTACAATTACTACCATGAAAAAGGCGGCTGAAGCTTTAAAAAAAGCTCATCAAAATTTGTATGTTCTCATTCGACGTTTAAGATATTTTTTCATGAAACCAAAATAAATGTTGTCTTTTTGTAGGGATACGGATAAAATTCATGATATTATGGACGATATTGGTGAGCAACAAGATGTCGCAAATGAAATCTCCCAAGCTATTTCAACTCCGATTGGTGGTGAGTTTCGAAGAATACTTCTCCATTTTGATTTGGTTGCTTACGATTTCCTTTTTTTTTTTTCTCCTGTTTGACTATAAGGTTTCAATTACGACGAAGACGAATTGGAAAAGGAGCTTCAAGATTTGGAACAAGAACAATTGGATGAAGATCTATTGTCGACGGGTACACATGCACATGAACTACCAGAAGTGCCAAATGGTGATATCAAGGCTCCAGCAGTCGAAGAAAACAAGAAAGGTAAAGAAAGATACAACAAATCAACAATAAATTTGTGTGTTAATGTGGTTTTTTGTCTTTTTCTAGTTCCGATAAAATCTATCGAAGACGATGATGATATGAAAACACTTTTGTCATGGGCAAACTAAAGTATAAGCAACGAATGGCCAAATGTCATCGAATAAACATTTATCATTCCACTCAATGTAAAAAAATATTTATAAATTATTACGAAACATACTCAAATAAAACTGATCTGAAACTAAGAAGCGACGTATTATTAACGTGTTCTATGTGACATCATTTATAGCCAAGAAGTAGAAGACGGTAACGCCAAGCCACATTTACAACTTTGTGATACAAAGATGAAATAAATTGCAATTTAGTGTTGGATGAAAAGAGCTGTTGTTTTATTGAGAGAAAAAAAAATAATCATATAAATCATTCAGATGGACTAATCTAATGCCGTCTCTTGTACTCGTAATCATCATCGCGATGTCGTTTTCTGTCGCTTCTATCTCTGTCATAGTCTCGATCTCTTTTCCTGTCACTTCTATCATTTCTATCGTTTCTTTCGTCTCTCCTATTTGATTCGTATCTTGATCGTTCATAATCTCTGTCACGTGAATATTTATCGCTGTATTTGTCACTCTTGCGATCTTTATCATCATATTTTCGGTCATAACGCCGGTCAGATTCTCGCCGGTCCGATTCGCGTCTATCCGTTTCTTTTCGTTCATCCCGTCGGTCAGAGTCTCGTTTGTGTTTCTTTTTTGTATCATACAACTCCTCACTGATCTCGTCCTCTGGATTTGGTTCATCATCACTGCCCTCGTCGTCCAAATCGTCATCTAATGCCGACACCTTTGGTTCCAATTCATTATTTTCCTCTAAGATATGACGTTTTTGAACGCGCGGCATAATTATATCGCATACACGGTCATCTCTCAATAATTGATCAATGAATTCATCCATGTGAATGATTTCATAGTTGCCGGCCCGATTTTGATGCCTTAACTTACGGTTGTCGTTATACAGCGGTTCCAAATATTTGTAGCAATCGACCGATGTGCCGGTGAGTCGAAGGTAGAATGCACCCAATGCGCGAACGTATTTGAACTCTTCATTTTTGATGAATTCAACCACAATATCTTTTTCCGGTTGGATTTGTAGCATTTTCAGTGTCAGGCACAAAAATGGTGTGGGTCGAATGTTACTGCCAAACACACCGCCCGTGTATCGAATTTCCATGGCTAAACAAAAAATAAAATACAAAAACCATACGTATTTTAGATACAATTTCTTCCAGTAAATGCAGAAATAGGAATATCAATTACCTTTGTCGACGAGTAACTCTGCCGTCAACGCAAAACATTGCTCTTTCCAGAACTTTGAATCGTATATCCGTGACCGAATGATTTTCTCAATCAAATACTGTGGATTTGTGCCATGTATATTTTTGGCATCTTTCACCGTGCGATTTGCCATTTTATGCCTTAAACACGCTGGCCGCAACTATTTCACGTTATATATTTGGAATTATTTCAGAAAACCAATATTGTTCAAAGGTAAAACGTTTATTCGTTTACGTTCTCAATGGCCTTATTGTCAATAAATTATTGAGGTTTGGTGTAAACGATATGAGCATTTGACATTTGTCGATGGTGCTGCCCGATGTTTGATTGAACTAAACAACTACAAAACACTATGATCCGAGATAAAGTGTCAATTGATGACAAAACATTTGCTTTAAGCTATGACGCATACTTGAAAAATAGAAAACGAAATAAAGAAAGAATACATACTAGCAGCAAAAACCATTGTCATTGAATCATATTTTCATTTGACTTAGCTTTTCAATTCCTTTTTCATTCCCATCACACGACGAAAATTCAAAATTTTTAAGTGCAAACCATCGCAATTGAACGATTGTGTAATTTGTTGCTGAAGTTGGAAAAAAAGTCAAATTAGTTGATTGGTTAGTGATTTGTTTTGTGGTCATTTGTAACAAGAATTAAAAAAAAAAACATCGTCAACATGAGTTTCTTTAGTAAAATGTTTGGTGGTAAGAAGGAAACCACCATGACCACTGGCGAAGCAATTCAGAATTTACGCGAAACAGAAAATATGCTGATCAAAAAGCAAGAGTTTCTTGAAAAGAAAATCGAACAAGAAATAGAAACAGCCAAGAAACATGGAACCAAAAACAAACGAGGTACAGTACACATCGTGCACACGCACAATAACATTCATCACAATGCTAATTAGATAGATGGAGTTGATTGAGCCACATTGGAATTTTCTTGGTCTTTGGCTAGATCTCCGTTTGAGAGAAAGAAAAAAGCAATTCGATTGTAATAAATTTTATCGTCAATAACTCGTTTCAAGGTTAAAGTCTATTCTATTTTATGTTGATCTTTCCACAGCTGCCATTCAAGCATTGAAACGGAAGAAGAGATTCGAAAAACAACTCCAACAAATCGATGGAACACTGTCAACGATCGAAATGCAGCGAGAAGCCCTTGAGGGAGCCAACACAAATACCGCTGTTTTAACCAATATGAAGAGTGCTGCAGACGCACTCAAAGCTGCACACCAACACATGTATGACGCACAATCATTTCTCATTCACTTGTTATTCAATTTCCAATGGATATGAAATTATGTTTGTTTCTTCTTTTTTTTTTCAATTTTATAGGGATGTCGATCAAGTACACGATATGATGGACGATATCGCAGAACAGCAAGACGTGGCTAGAGAAATATCCGATGCTATTTCTAATCCAGTTGCTTTCGGTAAGATTCAGCACTGTGACGACTGTATTTATGTTACCGGAACAGTTCATATTCATTTGTATTTTTGATGCATTTAGGCCAAGACGTCGATGAAGACGAATTGGAGAAAGAGCTCGAAGAGCTCGAACAGGAAGAATTGGACAAGGATCTATTGGGTGTCGGTACAAGTACACATGAGCTACCAGAAGTGCCTACTGGCGATATCAAAGAACCAGCTGCAGCTAGCAAAGAAAAGAAGAAAGGTAATTTCACTGAATGACATGAAACCATAATGCTTTGGTTGTAATGAAATTTTCGTTTTCCCTGCAATTTAGTTCCAGCAAAACCAGCTGAAGATGATGAAGATATGAAATTACTACAAATGTGGGCAAATTAGAAACAAAAGAAACCAACAATCGAATTGATGCTTCTTCTCTACCTGCTGATATCAGCGTAACTAACGTTCTAGTGGTCACTCCATTCGAAATTCACGAATAGTGTTCTTGCTTTTGTAAAAATTGAAAAAAATAACAAAAAATTATTTACAATAAAATATGATCAAAAAAAAAAGAAAAAAGAAATAGGTATAAAAAACACAAACATAAACGATGGTAATTCAAATCGAAATAAAATCTTATGGGGCTTACAAAACATATGAATTCAAAGAAAAAAAAACACTACATAAACTTGATACATGTAAACAAATCCACTCTTTTTTAATAAATTACTTTTAAAATGTTATGCACATGATTTATCGTACTACAGCAGAATCTGGGAAAGGTTCACGAAACATTCTCTTTCAATACACATTGTAGTTGAAACATTAAATATTTGTAGCGTATTTTTTTTTCCCGCGATGATCGACCAGATTCATTCAAATTCTGCACTTTTTTGCCATTTTTCCCAATCAAATTCTACAAGTATGGCATGGTGTGTAACCGGAACTGTGGCGAAAGTATCCATTTCCTAACTGTTCGACCAAGTATTGACCACGATACCCATATCGACGTTCAAATCTCTCACGTAAATGATCAACAGTCGGTGGAAACACCATTGGAATGGTTTTACCATCATCTCCGGTGTATCCGAACAATAGCCTCTGCACGAACTTACCCACTTCAGAAAAATTAAAATTAAAAACAAGATTTTATCACTTTGCAGAATATCATCACATTTGAAGTGAGAAAAAAAACCACAAATTTACCTGCTTTAGCATGTTGAATATGACTCTCGAAGGATGGCGGTGGCGGCTTCACTTGGCGAAGTTCACCATTCGGAAGTGTTTGTTGGTAACGGAAGAATTGAAAATCATTCACATTTAAATTCGATAAGTCCAATGTTGCTGAACAATTTCCCAATACCACGGAAAGAATGAACAAAATTCCGAAAATACACTGAAAAATTAGAAATTTTTTTAATCTTCTACAATTTCATTCTGTCCAATTTTCCCCAAACTACCTTCAAATATATCATTATTTTGCAATTTTCAAAAGCTCTCTGCTCACAATAAAAAACGATGTTGATTCGCCAACAATGAACAATTGTGTGTGCCACTATTTTCCGTTGACACAAAGTGTTCATATTTGCTTTCGTTATTCAAAATCGATTGCATGCTTGATTAAAATTCAATCGACGTTTAATTGATGAACGAAATGTCACGCAACGAAATATGCAGCAGTTATTGTTTTTTCTCTTCTTCTCTTTATTTCAACATAATGCGTTAATATGTGATATGAATGAAAATCAGAAATCGAAGCCATTTGCACGATTCATCACGATAGAAATTCCATTTAAAAACTACGTTACTAGAGACTTTTACTTTTCTTCAAAAAGTTTTTAGGATTGTTTACTCGCCGTGGCCATTAGAAAAATAGCAACTAGAGTTGAAATTTAAATTTTTTTTTATGTTTTTTTTTATGGAGCTACAGTCTGTTCCGCGTTGATATTAGCAAAAATTTTAAAAATCAATGGACATCCTTCATTAATCCTTGAATAAAGAATAATAATTATTTGATATTTTCCATTGTTTGATCATAAATATATATATATTGTTTATTGCGAAAAGGATGAAAAGAATTTGCTAGAAGTGCTGGGTTAAAAGACATACATTCTCATTGATAACCGTTTTTATGTCGAATGAAACATACTCTCCGATTTCTTAACAAAGAATCCCATGAAACATACTCTAATATCAATTAAAGACAAGTTCAATTTTTTTTTAATTGGATAAATTAATTGAAAGTCTTAAATTATTTAGTATTATTTATTTATTTTTCTTTGAAAATCAACTGAAAATATGTACGAAAAAAAAAAACGCGAAAATCGCTTGAAATATTCTCAAAAACCACAGAAATTACGAAATACTCATTGATCACCAGAAATTGCCAAAATATTCATTTATTATATTTATTTAAATAAAATATTTTCCGTTGCTATGAACATTTTCCAATTATACAAAAAAAACTTGAACAGCGAATTTAGCTGTTTACTCCAAGATTTAGAGTAATTCTTTATTCTAAGAGTAGTGTGTGTTAATAGCGGCTAAAAGAGGCACGAATAGAACTATGTTATCATAAGTCTGAGGACAAAATGCAATAATCGCAAATAGATTTTTCGTACTAGTACACTCTTTCGAGTAATATTGAGTGTTTTTTTTTAAAATATACCTTTTGTAACGTATAGCTTACATTAACTTAATCATTGCACCATTACAATGCTGAACGTTCAGTTATCGACAGCTGTCACCGACAGAGGGCTATGTTATGTTTATTTGTTTGGTCTTTCATAGTCACAGCTATACTATTCACGGAGATACGCGAGTAAACGATTGTTCAATAAATCTTAATTGGTTCAATTCAGCCCATACACATGTGAGTAAAGTAGATGCATTTGAAAAAATCATAATATTTATTATTGAATGTTGTCAAAGAAATGGAATGGTACATATTTTGAAAAAAAGTCAAATAAGTTTATAAGACTGTTTTTAGGTTATGTGTATAGAAAATTAAGCCATAGCCAACAATTTATTAACCAGATTGTTTTACATCTAATTTTCGTAGAATGTCACGAAAGGAAGCATTATCGCAATTCATCAATCAAATCCATGGACGTCCTGTGGTGGTTAAACTGAACAGCGGTGTCGATTATAGAGGTGAGAATCAAAACAATTAAAAAATTGGCTGTTGATGTTATCATTCAAATATATTCAAATGAATCTGAGCACCTTTCATTTTATCATCATAATTGTATCACGTTTTGATCAACATTTGATTTGTAACACGATTTCCATTGGCCAAATATTATATAATTCAATTTATATTATTAACTCAACAACAAAAATTCCGTTAATTCTCAGGTGTTTTGGCTTGCCTCGATGGTTACATGAACATCGCATTGGATCAAACAGAAGAGTACGCCAATGGTCAACTCAAAAATAAATACGGTGATGCATTCATTCGAGGAAACAACGTGTTATACATTTCAACACAGAAGAGACGGGTTTAGTTACGTATTCAAATCAAATCGAAAAACCCAAAACCACCGCATTTAAACACAACACCCCAGTTCAGTAGCGGTTGTTGTTTAACAAAAATATTTCCTCATTCACTTAACACTATGTTCGATACAAATGACTTGATTCCGTTTTGTAAAACTAGTTTATTTTATTTCTCATTTACACATTTAAAAACAGAAATAAAAAATTCACTTCACAATAAAAGAGAAAAAAGGAAATGAATGAATGAATTAAAATAAGAAAAAATGGTTTTAAAATTTGAGTCAGTTGTGTTAGTGGATTCCCTCTAATGGTGAATAGCTTCTGTATTGATAAAGCTCTGGTCCACCGTATCCATAGAGTAGTTTACCTCGACCATTTTCATCATAGTATGGATAACGATACTTTGGCCTAATTGCGTTAATTTGATGGCAAGGAGATCCAAATTGCATGCAAATTGTCAGAAGGAAAAAAACACGATACACATACAGCAACATGGAAATGAGAAAATTAAACAAATATTTGTCAATATTTCACGCCTTTTTCTCTCTCTCTCTCTCTCTCTCTCTCTCTCTCTCTCTCTCTCTCTTCTTATTGGAATTTAAGATATTTTGCACAAACTTACCGTTCAAAGTATTGGAAATTGGGTGCACGGGGCTGAACTGATGCTATTATTGATGGTAGTCCAAACATGCACAAAATCTAATAGGGAATCAAATTTTTTAAATATTTTTTTTTTCTGTAAAAATATAATTATTTCGATCACAATATTAGACAACACTTACAACAAAGGCGTATAAAGCTCTTTTCAACATTTTGAAAATTTTCCTAGATTATTCACTTTTCTTCAACGGAATTGTTTTTTGGTTCCGGAAATTTCGATAAAAAAAAGTTGTTCGAATTAACGGTTGCTACTTTCTATTTGTAATTTGATGTTTACGTGATCACACTGCACGCTAAACTAAACAATCGCATTGAATATAAATTGTTCCAAACATCGAAGGTGAAAAAAGCAATTCACACACATACACACACAGAGACAGGTAAGACGAGATGGAACGACTAGCAGAGGGAGAAAGAAGAAAATGGACAGAAAAAAGTAAAAAAAAAAAAAAAAAATATTAACCAACCAACACATACTAAAAATGTTTTCACAATCTCAGAGTTTTAATATTATGCTGGTGAAATAACCTTTACCAACGATATAACTTTATGATACTTGGATTGTTATTGTTGTTGCTGTTGTTGTTGAAGACAGTGTATACGTACCAAATTTATCATTCACATTCGCTGCGGTTACATTGATTGCGTTGAGCTTGGCTGGAGCTGAACTTCTTGTATGCGATACATACACAAAGAAAGACAAACAAAGTGAAAGTGCTTTTCGATTTCATAACTGTTTCTGGAGTATTCGTTTTGGTGTGGGCTGAAAAGAGATGGAACCGAGTAGAAAGAGTATGACGGAACTATCAAAATGTAAAATTTCCAATGAATGGGATGCACTTGTGTGTGTTTGTCTCATCGATCGAATGTGATCGCTCAAAATCGAGATGGTATTTGCATGGCATTTTCATTCCCGTCTTTTTCTCTCGTACAGCGGAAGTCTTAGTTTTCTCTATCACACATTCGCACGCTGTAATCTTTTGTCGATAGTGTGATTTCTTTCGGGTACAAATAAAAAAGTTCAACATTTTTCTATTGATATAACCAGCTAGCGTGTATTATACATCAAATACATAAACCCATCTACTAACTATGCAATCTATCTACTAACACTTTCTGAGTTGAATGCCTATCGAAATGTTCATTATTTGGCTCGTGTTTGTTGGTTAAATCTTGAAATTTGTCTACCAAGGCTAATGAATCCATTGATGACAATTTTTATTTTCTTAACACAACTAATTTGTTGATGTATCTTTTCAACTGAAAATATTAACCTAATCTTACCATTTGATGAGAAACCTTTGGTGTTGTTATCCAATAGCTTGTAACGGGTCAAAAATGTGAATCGCCGTTGTTGTGCCATTGATTTTTATTGCCACAGTTTTAATGAAGTTTGCAACATAAAAAAGAAGAAGAAGAAGAAAAAAAAACCAACGCAAAACCTACTTTTGAAATTGCCAGTTGCTGTTTTTTCATATATGTTTCATTTTTGTTTTAGATTGCATGTGATTTTATTCGTCGTCTCATTCGTTGAGTTGGTTTGGTGAATCGAACGCATTTCGTTCGACGCTTGTGATTTTTTTTTATAGTTTCATTGCACAAATTCGAAAAAGTTAACCAGATAATAATTCAATTAAAATAATATTCACGAAACATCCATTAAACACTCTCATCCATTTTATTTCCTGCATCAGAAAAATGACGGCAACGAAGAAATTTTTTTCAATTGTAAGCAAACATAGAAACATAAACTAATATTACATAATTGAATTTAAGCTGTGAATTTAAGAAAAAAGAGTATCGTTGAACATTTTTTCTGTGTTTGTTTCGCAGTTTCTTGTAGTGGGTTTTATGGTGACAATGAAAACATTTGCAACTGAAGATCCGGTATCGTTAGTTTTGCGATTGATACAAAATAATTTGGTCGGTGCTCCGGTCGTACATCAAGTGACAGAATGGGAATTCGATCCTGACGTAGCGGTTCGACGACGTGAATTATTCCAGCAGGTCAATGGCTTTCGTGGCGAAAAATTGATCGAACGCATCGGACTCGGCACAGACGGCTTGCACAACGTCCGTTTGGCTCTTCAACGTGAACGAGATGAAGGATTGCTAGGAGGGACTATACATCAAATAAAGCAAGGCGACAATATCGTTGAATATTAATCAATTTGTTGAAAAAATTACATTTAAGAAATGTTACAATAAAACGGAAGTCACGAAAAACACATGGCTGCTTTTTGAAAAACCAACGATATGAATTGACATCATGTACAAACAACGTTCACGAGCGAACGATTTGTGATTCAAATATGAATTGTGATTATGTTGTGATGGTTCAAATGACGTGTAAGCAAACAATAATTTTTAATACCATTCACCATCAATCCAAATGATATCGAAAACGAATCAACGAATTTAACATAATTTAGCATATTCCATGAATTGTGTCGGTAAATTTGGTCGACGGTTCTCTGGGCCCCCACTCTAATCCAACTTTGGTTTTCTTTTTTAATCCGCTCGATCTACAGCTCGTTTTTTTTTTTTCTGTTACAAGGATCGGAAATCAAAGTTAATGTGAAATTTTGTCAAGAGAAATCATCATATCAAAATATAATCGTAATCAATGTCATACAATAAAATTGAGTGGTCACCACACAGTCATGGCGCGATTATACTCGATAAACTCGATTGATCTTAGTAATTGTGTGTTGATGAAAAATTGTCCAAGCTAAGTCATGCACACCTCATTACTTTATAACGAGAATTGAGATCAAAATATCTAAATAAAAAAAAAACATTGTGTACACATGCCAAGAGGCGACCGCTCATTCCATCTAGTCAGCCAACCAGCAGATCAACCAACCATTGAAAATACATGTAAATATTGAGAAGCGGCAACAGCATCCGCAGCCGTAGCCATAGCGGGAAAAAAAGCCAAAGTCAAAGAAGACGAGAAAAAAACTGTGCAATAGCGGCGAAAGAGAGAGAGAGAGAGAGAGAGAGAGAGAGAGAGAGAGAGAGAGAGA